CAGGAAATTCTCTAAAAGAAAAATATTGTGCAAAAAAAAAAAGACCCCTTTAGTTTTCATAGCCTCAGAATGACACATTTATAAGCCTATACCAGGCTAAAAATTGGCAGCTCAATAGGATCACATGTCTCTGAAGACAGAGAATGAAGAGCCAAGCAGCAAGTTATTAGAGTCTGAAAGAGATACTCCCTTTGAGTAAAATACTGTTGTTGTGTGCGTGGGAGCTGGAGAGGGCAGGAGAGCAGTCTCGTAGGAACACAGGCATTTGAATGAAATCATGAATGATACTCTAAACTAGAATCATATTTCAAACAAACATGCAAGTGACAAGTGTTATTTCAACACGTCTAGTTTCGTATCTGTTGAAAGGGCTGTTAGGAAATCTCTCTGAAAATGCTGGCTTTTTTTTTTCTCCAGCAACACTTCCCATCAGCGTGAGCTGCAGCAACTGGGAAGGAGGCTTTGAGTGTGACGTTTTTCTTAGTATTTTGCTGACACTCTGATTTGGAAAAATCTGTTCCAGCAACTACAGTGACTGGAGACAGTGATGTGTTAATTAAACATTGTTAATTCAATATTGTGAGGAGTGACCAAAAGACTTATTGTGCCATCACATCGCACTATAACATGTTTTTTAGGTTAAACACCATGTCCTGAACCCAGCTTTACCTTCACCACCATGTCTGCTCACGAGGGGCGGACTCTGTGCCAGTGTTTCACCTCCCAGAAGCAAAGGCTCAGCCTTTCCACCCATCAGTCTCTACCCCTGTTGTGCAGGATTTGTTGAGAGCAGGAACATGAGCAGCAGCACCTGACACACCTGCTTACACGTCCTGCCTGCTCTGAGGAGAAATTAAACCTGTTTCTGTAAGTCACTGCAGGTCTCAGGTCAAATGCCCCTGAGCTGGATCTTTAACTGCTGTTGGCTGGCTGTACCACCCCTGTGAATGTGGGAGAGGTTCCCCAGGGGCAGCACAAGGTGCAGCCCCCCTGAGCCCTCACCTGCAATGGGATACCCCAAACCCCCATGGTAATGCTCCCAGGTCCAGCAGATAAAATGTAGTGTGATAAAACTTAGCAAATTTATTTTAAAGTAACCTCAGAATGGTTCTGAAATAGCTTCACTTCTTTAGGGGTTTCAGGCTCCAAACAAAGCCCATCCTGTCTAGGAGGAGCTGCAGAAGGCAGCATGAACCAACAGATAAGATTGAGGCAATTTTGAGTTTCCTTGCTCCAGAAGACCTAGAATGACTACTGCAAGTACAGACCAGGGACATGCCAATTTTCAGGCAGGACTCCAGAACTGGGGTTATAGCTGAGACTCCTCTAACTCGGAGTAAAACAATCAAACTCTGGCTTATCAAGAAACTTCGAGTGTGGGCTGGGCTGGTTAAAAAAAAAACCACCACAGTTTTATGTGAAAGTTTGCTTTCAAAAATGTGCTTTGGTCAAAGTATAAATTCCTCTGATGGTTGGCACATAAATTTAATCGTGGAGATGATGATAAGGAGATGCAGACTTGAAACAAGGTACCAAAGTGTAATAATAAGGGTAACTTAGGTTTCACAGAAATTACCAGGGGTTGTAATGGATCACTGGATATTTTTTTAACACCCATGGTTAAACTTCTTCTAGAAGAAGTGCTAGAGGCAGCTAAATCAGAAATATATGTCTCTAGATCATCCTCCAACCATTCACCAGCACTGCCAAGTCCACCACTAAACCATGTCCATAAGCACCACATCTACATGTTTTCTGAACATTTCCAGTTAATGGAAGACAGAAACATTCAGGTTGGAAAAAACCCTTAAGATCATTGAGTCCAACCATTCCCCCAGCATTGCCAAGCCCACAGGTAACCATGTCCCCAAGTGACACATCTTTATGATACAAAACCACATGGGGTGAGCATCTACTGCAACTATCCTGGACTACAGGCAAGAGGGGACTGCCATCCACCCCAACCAATCCTACGGGGAAAATCTCCACACTGAGGCAGTGCCTATGGAGCCTTGGGTGGGAAATGAGCAGTTATTTTTGTGTCAAGATTAATCTTGGGTTTGTTAGTTGATACAGAGAAAAAGGACACAGAGCCAAAGCACAACCACAGTGAGTAAGCTGTCACCAAACAGCTTAAAATTAATACCACATTAATTAATACCACATTAATTAATACCACATTAATGTCTGAGGCTGGAACACGCTATGGAGTGTTCTGTAACCATATCTGTGTGCTAAGGCAGCCTCCTGCATACTGCAATGTTTGCCTAAAGCTCCTCTCTTGGTCTGGCAGCAGAGCTGTTTGCATTGGCAACTCTCTGCCCCCCTTCCCTGTGCAAGGTCCCAGTGCGAGGGAGAAAAGCAGCTGAAAATGGAGAACTTGAAATCACAGCCCTTCTGTGAGATCCCCAGAGGTTCCATTCTCACCCTTCAGAGCAAAGAGCAGCAGTGTTTGGTGTGAAAAATGCTTTGTAACATCTACAGACATTCCTGGTGGGACTGGAACACATTTTTTAAAAACTGCCCTGTAACAGGACTGAACATCTATTTGTCTGAAGGCTTTTTTACTCTGTCCTACTCCACGTCATGTTTACCTGTGGTAGCAGAATCAATCCCCAATCCTCAGAGGATGCGAGAACCACAGGACCAAAGTGTTTTCCTGTCACATGCAGGTCTCAAGTTGAGCTGAAAATCACCCAAAAAATGCCAGAGACAGGTGGGGTGTTAATTCAGGGGTAATAACAGATTGATTGGGAAAAGCTGAGAGAGCTCTGGCCTCCAGCTGTCAGCAATACACCCCATGCACGCAGTGGCTGCAGGGGCTGGAGAGGATCTGGGACCCTTTTTTTAAGTAAAACTGTTGAAATTACTCACCTTTCCTGGGTGAACCAGCAGCTGATGTTACACCTCAGTCTAGAGCAGGGCCCTGCCTGTGGGTCACTCACACCAACAGCTGTGGGACAATGGATTTGGGAAAGCGGGGAGAGCTGTGAAAACCAGACTGGTTTCCAGAGGATGGTGAATGGTGGCTGTCTTAAAAACTGGCTGCCATTAAACACCTCAGACTGAAAGCTGAATCAATTGCAAATTTAAAATAAATAAAATTAATGGCCAGAAAGGAGATCAGATTATTAAGATGCTGCACACTTGCAATTCCCCTGGTATCAACTTACAAAGTATGGGGTCTTACTGACTCTGGAGTTTTGAGTTTGTTTGGGTTGTACCTTTTTCCAGCCTTATCCTTATGTGCTCAGCATCAACACAGCATGAAAAGTAAAGCCATTCCCAAAGTCTCTGCTTAACCAGGGGCAAGTGAGTAACAGCAACACACTGGGAGAGGCACGTGCTCCCCATGCCCTGCATGCAGCTCTCCAACAGGGACCTGGAAAGTCTTCCTTAAGAAGTGATGTCTTTTCCTCTTAAATTACTGCTGTAAACCTTTGTACACCTACAAGGGAATTTTCCTGGGAATTTGTATTGTCTGCTACCCAATGACATCCACAAACCAGACCAAGCCTGTGATATAAAAAGTACATGAAGAGATTACGCCAGAGGCAGCTCGATAATGTGCATTATCTGGACACACCTAGGTTATGAAAGACTCAACCTTTTATACATTTAACACAGCCCCTTCATGAAAGGGAAGAAAACATGGTGTTACTCACAGATTGCAGACTGATCTCCGAGCAGCCATAAACCTGGAGATCTTGGTCAACATCTGCCTGCTCCCCCAGGGCTGGGAACAGCACAACGTGGCCACCCCTGGCACTCCCACACATGGGGGACAAGGTGACTGCTGCTTTTTTGTGCTGTAGCCCAAAAGGGCAGAAAGTGGATCTACTTATTGAACAGCTGTTGATGGACAGAGAGGCCTTTGGATTAGGGGGTTTCACTCTAGGATAAAAGGGCAAACTATTTTTAACCTGTAGTTCTAAAAAGAGGAAAGTTGTAAGTATTATTAAATTAGGGGTTTGCATTTCTGAGTCCAACAAAATGCAAATACAGATGGCTTGAATAGCCCTACAGCAAGAGAAAGTCACTTGTTTCACAGAAACTTTTAAAAAAAAATCAGATGAACAGCTAAAACAGAAGTAAATGACACACACAGCTTGTCCTGTCCCCTCAGCTTGCACAAGGGCTGTACCAGGAATCAGTTAAGGACTCCAGCTGAAATGCAAACCAGCTTCCTCAAAAGGCTGTTGCAATTCACTCTTAGAGGTATTTCTGCATTGAACAAATCAGCACTCTCTCAACTTGTAAAGCAACTTGTGTTTCTTAGAAGCTCATTTCTCTTAAGAAATATCAGCGTGGTGCAGAGCTCCTCTTTGCCAGGTTCAGGGGAGATACTACACAAAAGGGAATTTTCGTTTTTGGCAGTTTAAAGCAAAGATTTGTGGTTTGGATGGCAAAAATATTTGTACAGAACCCTGAAGAATCAATCACCTCTGACACAGCAAGCCTGTCACAAGATGCAGTGCCAGCACTCTGTGCTGTGGCACAGGCTTCGTGTCTCACAACTTCATGGGCATCCCAGTTAAAACAACTTCAGGACAAGGCAATTTGGCCTTTGAAAGCATAAGCAAAGGGCAACTCCAGCAGAGAAGTAATTACAGTTTATATATAATGTGCAGTTTATACATGAAGTACTTTATTCAACAGTAAAATGCCTCTCTGATTCACCCAGCCATGTGCAGGAGGCAGCAGGTGCTCTCAAGTCAGTTTGGAAAGCCAAAGCTTACAGTGCCCTCACAGTTTTATCCTTCAATACTGTGAAACTAAACGTTCTTTAGGGCATCCAGTGTTTCTAAAAACAGGACCTGAATCTTAGAGCTGTGAAATATCAGCTTATTAGAGGAAGAGCACGAAACCACACCAGTCATGTTGCTGCAGTATAAAAATATTCCACCACAACCCCCAGTATCAAACATCACAGCAATTTATGATGCTGAATGAGAACACCCCGAAATCCCTCCCCAGGCCCCAGAAATGCAGGTCAACAATGAACAATCTCAAATTATTTATTAGGAAAAGACAAAGGACTGTTTCAACATTCGTACAGAACAAATGGTGATTAACCCAGGAAAATAAACTGTAAAAAGTAGGCCCATGACAGAGGAATTGGGTTATGACAAAGCAAATGAAATCCAAACTTCATTCATGCAAACAAGCAGTAAAGAATTATTTACAGTTTCGATGGGATGAATTACAGAATTGGCCGTATTTGGGCCCAAATCAAATTATTCAGCGACATATTAAAGGGATCTAATCTGTACATTCAATAATGAGGATCTATAAAAAGAAAAATAATTTAAACAATTTACAAGAGCTGTATTACAGATGGCATAAAAGGCATCATTTACAAGAGCTGTATTAACAGGTGACACAAAGGTATTCATCAGTAATTTATGAATAAAAATTTGTAGCACGTATTTTTACATCACATCTTCAGTGTCTGAACAATAAACAAGGAAGCAGAGACATACCATGAGTGCAATGTAAGAGAATAAGGCAACTTAACCAAATGGCTCTTCAGAGAACTTCATCCTACAAGGGTTTACAAGTCATAAATTTGCCTGCCTGCTCTGCTAACTGAAACAAATGTTTGGAGACAGCAACTGGTGATCACAAGGCCTGCGTATCACGAGACAGTAGACGGAAAATTAAATGCTTGTTTGTTAAAATGCCAAAACTCAAGAATGTAGAAGTGCAGATTATCAAAAGCCCTCTACGCCCTAACACCAGCACACTCATTTTCATGTTCTAGATGTTGTAACTTAATAGGTCTCAAAATACTAATTCACTAGTCTTATAAACCCTTTTGCAATGCACAAACTAATATACCTCCTCCCAAAGCTTGTATTTACAACGTTCTTAAATTGATGGCAGAAGAATTGTGAAATGCTAGCAATTTATAGCAAAGATTAGCAACTGGCACACGATATTCCAGTTCATTTCATAAGCAAAGCTAATTAGCACATTTAGATTTGAAAATTACTTCAAATGGGTATTTTTGAGTTCTCAGCAGCTTCCCCAAAAGCTTTCAGTAATGGCTGAATTTCTTGAAGTTTTAGCAGAGAATACTACTTGTGCAAACACCTACAATAACAAGATGAAGGATAACATGGAAATACAGCAGTGAAGAGTCTTCTGTATCCTAATGCACCACGGGAACATTATGGGCCTTACAGAAAGCAGCACAGGAAGCCACACCTGCCAATGACTTGCCACATGAACACAGTCCACATGTTCCAAAAAAAAAGAAAAAAAGAAAAAAAAATCCCAACAAACCCAAAAGGGAAACTTGAAATAAGGCCAAAAAGTATTGGCAAATGATAAAATTTTCAGTCTGTCAAAAGGACCAGGCCATAAATATTTTATTTACAATTTCTAGTTAGAATCTTTATTTTCAACAAATGATTTAGCACCAGCAGGAATATGCAAAGTATCATTACTGTGTTCCCCAGGCAGAAGACCTTGAGGCCAAATCTTGCTCGTTAGTTTAAAAAGATCATCTACTCAAGTAACTAAGAGCGAGCAGGATTTGGCACTCAGTCATGCAAAGTGAGACTGTTCAAACATATTCCATTAGCACGTTAGTAATTACAAACAGATTACAGCATCTTTTGAGATGTTTTCAGAAAGTGTGTTTTTTAGAATACTTAATATGCTTTACAAGTGTGAAGTAAACAAAACTAATAAAACAGGCTTATTTTGAAGACTATTTTTAACCTTAGAGAATTTTACCACAGATGACAAAATACTGGTGATGTACTTTAAAACATCAGTAAAACTTAAAGGAATGCAAGCAGGATTTATCCCTCTGTGATAAAGCATTTTTTAATCTCTCATGGTCATGTCTGAGGACTAAATTCACCCATTTTATCCACAATGATTGTGAAGTTTACCCCCTCTGACTGTGTGTTAACAGGAAATAAAAAAAAAAAAAAACAACAACCAAACAGTTACTGTTTGTGTCAAACATGTCCTGAGCCCTGCTCTGTGACCTACAGGTCTTGGTCAAACACTTCTAATCTGACCCACAGATTTTTGTTCACTTTTTAACCTCAGCAAAGCTTTGTTAACATGTTACACAGTTTTTAAGCCTACATAATCCATAAAAAGGATGCAGACAGGAAAACAAGGATGGGAAAGAATTAGCCTTATGTGTTTAAATGGACTGAGGATAAAAAAGCTGATCAGAACTAGCTCAACAGAACCACACTGACCTTCCCCTCTGCTCTCAACTCGACTGAACTGTCTCCTCAGGATTACAGTGATACCCAGATATCCAGAATGTGAACAGTGGTTGACTGTAAATTTATTCATTAATATAAGTTAATGACTGAATGCAAAAGACACCATCTAGTCCTCATCTAGCACAGACTGGCTCTAGAAAAAGACACTTTGATTAGTTCCAAATGTTAAAACCCCACTGTTACTCTGAAACATGGAGAAATGAGAAGCTACTGCAGCTTATGTGGAAGCAGGCGCTTCCTGCAGACCTACAGTGGACAGAGACAAGGAGTCAGTGTTACAGCCTGCATGTGAACTACCAACAACTCAGTGCAAGCAGGAACCTCACAGTACTTCTGAAGGGTTATCAGAAGCCAGAACAGAACTTCTGCTCTTAACATACAGGCTTAGAGCACGTAAAGAACACTGAGGATGTGTTCATTCCAGCCTGCTAAATACTCCAAGTGTATTGTAGGAGCTCCTCTCTCAATCAAACTGCAGTTAGCTAAGCAGAATTAGAAAGGTGAAAGTGGTTAGGTCTAATAGCCTGGAATAACTTCATCTAAAACTGAACTTCTCTGTCCAGAAATAAACAGTACTTATCTCATTACAAACCTGCATGAGTTTTAGGGAGATACTGATACAACCAAACTGTGTGTAATACTTGAAACAAGCAAGCTGGAGGGATGAGACCAAGAAATGCAAAAGCATTACCCCAGGATTAAAGGATAGGAAGCCAGAAACCTGATGCTGCTCTCCTGGCATCTCTTGCTACACTGGATTGAAGGGACCATCTCCATGGCAAATAAAATTATCTGCCATTTCGCTGGTAAGTAACACTCATTAGGAAACCTCATGGATAAAGTCCCAGTACCATTAAAATTGGCATTATATGAAAAAATTAAAAGGCACTCACATGGCTGACTGAGCTGAAAACGATTACACATTCAAAATGAATTTTGCATTTTACTTTAGAAGAAGTATCACAGAACTTTCCTCTAGATGAGTGGTTCCACTTGAGAAGACAACAGTAGTCCTGAGAAAACTCCAAATTTTCATTTGTATCCATTCACCCTAAAGCTGCTTCAACCAGTTGGCTTTGAGGAAATGGCAAGGGTGAAAGAAAAAACAGAGGATCAGGAAAAAGCAAGCTACTTCAGTGATCTGTATAAAAGAAACAATCCTTTTCAACATATTTAGAAGAGAATTTCAAAGAGAAGACTTTAAGGCTTATCTTGCAACTACTTGTGATGCCTATCATTTCTCCTGGTGGTAGAGTCAATCTTTGGGGACTCTTAATAACAAGCTCTAAGCTGACAGAAAGTGAGATGAAACCCAAAGATGTGGCTTATAAATACAGGACCCCTGGGCTTTACAGTAGGGCTTGACAACTGCTCTGGTTGCTCTTGTAATGAAGTACCAATTGTGCTGATTAAACCAGGAATAGGAAACCAATTTTTTTAGAAGCTCAAGGGAAGTAAACCAGAGGTAGGGCACGCTTTTTGATTCTCACAGTAGTTTCTATACAGTACAGCTATTCAAGAATTATTCCACTTATTTTGTAACAATTTACTTAGAAAAAAATGTATCTTAAGTCACATCAGCTTCAACTGGTTTAATGAACCATGGATATTAGGAAATCATCTGTTATGTGTGCTTTTGGTTAATATGTAAGTAGCTTCTAACTACTGCTTCAAAAGGACTCTCAGTATCACCAAAAGAGAACTGAAGTAGCAACAGACATGGTCTAAAGGAACTGTTTCTGACGGAGCTGTAGTATATGTCTTAAAGTACCTCGCTTTGCAAATAAAATATGCAGTTAGTTTGCAAACTTTTCAGCAGGCTGTCAGAACACTCAGAAAATTAAGTTTTCACACAGTTTTATTAACCAAATAAAGTTTACTTTTGATAGTCAACCATAACCCAAAAGAGCCGTATACAGCATTTATAAAGACATTCTATAAAAATCGTATTTGCTTATTTTCTGAAGTGCTCTGAATTAGCATTAGATCAGCTGAACTGTGGGTGTAATTTTTAGTTGTTTATGTCTAAAGTGAAACATCAAAAGCAAGCACAGTAGAAATGCAGTACAAGTACCGGGAAAAGCAACAATAAATGGAACTGCATTGGCAATTGGCAGCTGCACTTAAATGAGCTGCCTGCCCTAAGGTACTGTACTCTTAAAGGACCCCAGAAAATCTAAAAAGATAACATATGATGTTAGTATGGGGCTTTGAATTGTAAGAAAGAGAAGACTGAAATAGCACACAGGGTTTCTAACACACTAGGTGGATGTATCTGTAAATACAACACAGCCATGCTGTGGAATACTCGAGCAATCAGTTTTAAAAATACCTTAAACCCCGAGATATCAATGTGTTCTAGTCTGGTTGCTCCTCATGCACATACAGGAAATATTGAACATGAAAATATCATAAAATTGGGTAGCTCTTTAGTCCACAAAAATTCACGTAGCTAATGATTGTATAATAGTTTTGTAAGTTTAAGATCTCATGCCCTGGCTTCAGGACTAAACTTATTACAATAATTACAACTGTAAATTTTAAAAGTCTACAGAAAACCCCAAAGATCAGTTCCAGAGGGTGGATTTTATCCCAAGGCCACGATTTGATGTTTCCATATTGCGAGTGCACTAAATATTGGTCCATTTGGTGCTGCAATACAAACTCTGATGCTGTCCTCAATTTTCAAAAACAAACTTCCCAAATCCAAAAGTAAGCTAGCAACCTTTCATTTTCAACATCTAATTAGATTCTGATTAACTCCTACAAAATTAAGTAGAACTCAGAATTTTGAATTAGTAGCCAAAATTTCCCAAATCTCCACAGAAATGAGCCAAAGCACCAGAATTATGAGGTCCTGAGGTCATCAGAATTATGAGAAATTCTGATTCAGAACTATGAGAAAACACAATTCTCTCAGGCTTTGTGGTACCTTTACAAATAATGATTCATGATGGCAGAACTGATAAAAGAGACAAAAAAAATCCAGAAGGCATTTTGGAAGTCATGCCCTCAAAAAATCCAAAAAATAATGAAAAATGAGAAAAAACCTGCCTTCGTTAATCACTAAACTCTTTTCCAAATCCAATCAAAGACAGAAGGATCTTCCCAAAATACCAGCTGAATTTTCAAATAAATGAAGAGAGCAAGTGAATATCTTCATGAAACTTTCATAACATCAGATGCTTAATCTGCTGCTTTGGCTGATTTTTTGTGTTTCTATTCTTCCCACTGAAAATTAAAGCATTAATATTATTATCATTAGATAGAAAAATAAAATAATTACTGTTCTTAACTGTGGGAAGGAATGGTCTACAGATTCCTCTCATCTTGTAGATAGTACCTTGTTGTTTTTAAAGTTGTTTTCTCTAAGTACACAGGGGAAATTGTGCTCATGCTATACTATAACTAATGAAAATAATTGTTCATTCATTAATTATATGCAAAACTGATGGGCCTAAAGCCTCAGGAGTAAACTTGCAATATTTTCATGTTGAGCACTTAACGGTTTGGCATTCCTTTGTCTGGGATTTCTGGAAGGTTGTTTTCAGAGGACGTATTGCATATTATGAGTTCACCACTGGCTACAAGTACCAAAGAACATAAATGATAACCACAAACAGTTCACTTTCCAATGCCCAGAGTGAAACCCTTCCTTAGAACAGCAATACTCAGTAGCTAATCACTTCTTATAAACAGTTACAGAAAATGGGCTGTTTTCTTCTCCCTTCCCCAGATTTAATTCCCACTGCCATAAACAGATGTTGTTCAGGTGGAAAATAGTTCAGTGTAGTGACATCTGGTATCTCAACTGAAATTGGGCAGCCCAAGCAGAGCACCAACAGCTCCAAAGTATCCCTGTTAAAAAAAAAAAAAAAAAAATATTCAAGTTTAAGTAGGGTATTAAATTTTGCACTATTCACATTTTAGTGACAATCACCATCTGATGGACCAATGCTACAGAAAGCACACCATACACTTTTAATATATAATAATCCCTAATTTTTTAAAGTTCTGTGAAATGAACATTTTGTCCTTCTCGCCTAGATTAACTTTGGGGCATTTCACACCAAGCCTCACCATACACTGCAGGGCTTCTAGGACAGTGAATCCTAAAGAATGGAAATCATGTTTGGTTCCTTTTTCCTAAAGGAGCTGCATATTTTGGTTGCCACTTCAATACCCACAGCAACACTGTTCCCAAAGTAAAAGTTAAGAATTTCTTAAATTAACTGCACCTCACAAATTTTGACTACTTACCTGCACACAAAGGACCATGTTTTCCTGTTGGATTACATTTCCCTCCTATGGGGGAGTGAAACGTTCCCTCTCCCTATAACTGTGAAATACTGAAGTCTTTGGAATATACATTTGATTAAATGCAAGAGTTCATAATTTACCCAAGAAAAAAATGAAGAACTGACAAGGAACCGTTCTGCGATTACTGCAGACACTGGCACTGACTGTCAGTCCTGGGATAAGCAATAAAGGAAAAATGCTGTGAGAATCAACTGAAGGGGAACAGATCTCATGCTGTAATATTTACAGACCAACAAACTGAGGACAAAAACTGCCGATCCACTGCCAAGAAGCTACAAATCTCACAACTGCTGCACCTGTAATTTGCTTATCTTTTAAATAAAAAAGGTGAAAACTCTCAGCATTCCATACCGATGAAGATGGCAGAAGCTGCCCCAAAGCAGGTCAGTCTGAGAGCACAGAGTCACTCCAAGAGCTCTGAGGGGTCTGTGGTGGTATGAAAGCTGGCCTTGTCAAAGGCAGTCTCGACTTGCAGGATGTTGCTCAAGCCCAGCAGAGAACAATGGGCTCGTTTCAAAAGCTCGAGCTTTAGATCTCTGGACTCTTTGAAATACAACACTTACTATTGTTTCCACCCAAACTTAAGAAAGACTGTTGACCCTGGGCACAGAGCTTAAGATTTTCCTGTCCCTCTCCAAAGATCCACAGCAGTGAACTGAGTTACCCCAAAGTGACTGAAGTACCTCCCTGGCAGGGAGCTGTTCCCAGAGAACCCACTCAGCACGACAAGCCTCCTCTTATTTCTCGTGTTTACTGAGTACAGAGCCTCAGGATATCGCACGAGAGCTACTCAATAACACATTTTTGATTTATGGTGGAACAACACACACAGATAAATGAACCACAGCATACCTCATGTTCTAGGAACAAGGCCTTCAGCTGGCCTTTTGACCAGTAATCCAGTGCATACGCAAGAAGCTTCATCGACAAAGTATTCACACGCAAAAAATTGCCAACAAACACAACTCTGTTTATTTTCTAAAAAGAAAAGAGAAAACCAGCAAAGGATTAAGACTTTTCACTGCTTAACACAGCTTTGAGAAACAGAGCTATGAAAGAGCAGGCTGTCTCGAGCAAGAAAAAAAAAAGGCACAAAAACCAAGCAACCCACAATTAAAACCCGGTTTCAAAATTTAAAACATGGCATACTCGGGGAAAAGGAAAGTCAGCGCAACCCACAGGAATTAAAGGACTTAATTTACAGACAAGTAGCATTTGTGTTGCAAATTAAAGCGAGCACTTTCAGTAATTAAGCCAAAGAAACAGGCCAGCTAAAAGTGAAATGAAATGAAAGATAGTTCTGTTTGGCAGGGAAGCCTCAATGCCTTCATAGCCCTGTACAATGCTGCTTGATCCATATGCAACAAGGCAGCACTGTAAAGAAGCCGAAGACAGTAAGACATGGCAGGTGTTCCTTTCATCTTCAGAACTCAATACACCTCGGCACAGCATCAGACCAAGAGTTAAATACTGCAAGCGAGCTGTGAATTTTAATCAGGTCAAACGTAAAGAAGTGAAAAATCATTTAACTTTCCCCCATTTGATGAAATAAACCCAATATTAAGCAAAAGCAACATTAAACACTGGCTTAATGATAAAAGAGGAAGAACCAAAGAAAATTTAATTTTGTTAGTTCTTAGCATAGTGCTTAGACAAGCACTTCATTACATTAAATCAATAAATACATTAATTGTATCTAAGTTGTCACACTAGTTTTTGTAACAATTCAACCTGACTACCATGGGACTGTTTTTCACCATCTTGATTAGTTCTTACTGAAGACAAAGTAGATACACCATTAAGGCACAAAACCATAATTCTGTTCTACTGATGGAAGCCAAAATAATGACATCCAACTTTATATGTCAGTTCAATATATTAGTTTGTATATCCCTAGTAACTGTTCCTTATAATTTGTAGTTCTGTGACATAGCTGGAATGACACCAAAAAATTGGAAAAAAGCTAGTTTGTGCAGTTTACAAGTTCTGATTTGTCCTCCTTTACTCCCACCCTTAAATACAAAGTTCATACATTTGTCTTACTCTATTAGTATGTACTATCAACTTCACCCTCATTTTAACCCTTTGTTATCAAGTCTTGCCATAAAGCAAAAAGCCAAAATTAATTTAATACTCACAAAATAAACCTTATTCTCCAAGACACACAAGAGAAAAAGCCAGAGAATGAAACTGAGGGAGACCATGCAATATTAAAACCAGAAACATGTATTAGTCTGGCTCCAAGCAAAAGGAGGGGTTTGCAGGTAACAAGGTTGTTGGTACTTCTGAGATCATCACATCCAGAGATTTTAAGCAGAGCTCTAAATACAGTTACTCATAGTCTTCTCCAAGAAAGCTGTTACTAAACCTCATTTTATCCAAAGTTTGTTCATAATGAATAAGGAAATCCCTGGTGCTCAGAACCTAATGCCTTCTATGCCTAAATTCAGTATTGTTCCACAGCTTCTTGGTCCTACTGAAACTGAACACGCACCGGTTCTGTTCAGCAGGACTTTGAGAAACAGAAGATGGCAGGAAACCATCCTGGTATCAACCAGTAAGGTGACAGGTGTCAAAACAATCTGAAGTCTCAAGAGTCAGTAAAAATTAAAAATAATGCTTAACTAGAAGCGAGGCTTTCCACAGGCTTCAATCAGAGAATGATTTCAGCTTGAAGAAACTGCTGGAGGCCATCAGATCCCACACACCGCTCAAAGCAGGTCTTGCAGCAACTCAAATGCAGCAGTTGCCCAGGTCACATATTCTGAAACTCTCCAAGGACAGAGCCCATGTTTCAGGGCAGGACACACTCCCTAGGTGACCCTGCCTTGGCAGGATGGTTGGACTGGATGATCTCCAGAGGTCCTTTACAGCCCTAACTATTCTGTGATTAAAGTACTAGGAGTGGGTTCAGAATATTTTGATTGCCTCTGGAGAACTGGGACATGGATATCTTTGCCAGTGGGGAAGGTAACCTGACAAGGAGTGCCTCAAACCAGCTTTGTTAGGGAATGGAGCCCAAAGCCTGCAGGGGAGTGAGGGAGTAGGGGAGCACACGATGTTGTGATGAAGGACTTGAAGTCTCCTTGCTAAACCAGGATGATTGTGGGCACAAAACACTACATGAATGTCCTCATTCCATCTGAGACTGTACTGAAAGGTTTAAAATTATACATTATTTTAGCAGCCATTTAATCTGAAAACAAATAAAAGACCTGTGGATAGATCACTTCCTTGTCAGTTTTTACCTCATTTACTGCACACATCCGGGCAATAGACCCAATGTTATTGGTGATGGTGACCAATATGGCTCTTGCAAGATCTTCTTTACTAACAGACTCTCTCTTCTCTTTGTAGATCATATTCCCAAAACTAGAACAGGAAAAATTTCCGTTAACTAAAAGTGATTTATGTGCATTTGAAGTAGTAATTTCAGAATGTGATTTTTATGCTGTAACAAAAGTTAAGTCTCATGTTTGTTCTTGAGGAGCTCCCTTTCAAAGTCTGTGTTAAATACAGCAATTTAACATTACATGTGCATTTATTCATTTACGGTAAACACTCAATTTTTGTTACAATAATGACCCCCACAAAATATTTTTGTTCAGGTTGACCTCCATGAAGAATTATCTACAGCAAAATGCAGTCTTACTCTTTGGTATTATTCTAGTTGGGGCTGTGTTTTGGATTTGTGCTGGAAACTGTTGGTAATCCAAGGATGTTTTCATTATTGCTGAGCAGAGTCAAGGCCTTTTCTGCTTCTCATCCCAGCCCACCAGCAAGCAGAGTAGGGTGCAGAAGTTGGGAGAGGACCATTCTGCTCTGTTCCATTTCTGTCCTATTAAACAATCTTTATTTCAACCCAGGAATTTTACTTTCCTCCTCCATCTCACTGGGGGAGTGAGTGGCTGTGTGCTGTTTAGCTGCCTGTCAGGTTAAACCACACCACCTCTGCACTTCCTTCCTGCCACTCCTGTGATCACCTCACATTCTCTGTGTAGGACATACCACACGAGGTTTCTTCAGTATCTAGCTGGCAGGCACCTGCAGTTGCCTGTGGCTTTAAACCTTCTAAAAAGCTGAGGATATATACTTTTAGGATAAAAAAAATAACTTGACTACAATAAAAGTTTGTGAAAAAGCAGTTTTCTCTGCATTAATAGTTCGAGTCTTGCTTTTTAAGCCCCTCAAACCAACAAAAGAACCAACAAGGAGACTCCTGCTTACCTGGATGCTACAGCCCACCCTGGCAAGCCAAATCTTTCATAGTCTCCTCCATAAATATCCCGAACCAGCTTGTCAGCATGTGTGCTGTCTCCTTTGGATGCCATTTCCAGAGCTTCTTCAAAACTTTCACAGCCCGTCAACAAACTGCACAAACCAAGGAAGGTCCCTCCACCTAGACTAAGGACAAAGGACACTAGTTGCTTTTAAGTAGTATTTCCTCACATGAAAGATTCTTATATCTGACTAACAAAATAAACAAATAAACTCCTCCAACTTAGATACCGAGCTGTTTGCTTTTCTGCGTAAGATTCACTTCACAAACAACTCTCAATCAATTTCACATTATTTTAAGTCACTTACAAGAAGGTAAGAGCTAACAAATAGATATAAACTCTCAAAATGTAAGCTGGAAGACTTAATCAGAGACAAATTCCTTAAATAACCACATCATGCCACTGACTGATCCTTGATCATTTACTGTAAAACACATGTTGACACATCTGTTCTTATGGAGCAAGAGGAACACAGGTTCACTGCACACATCATCAAAATTTAAAACAAAACCTATAAAACTCTCACTATGGAGCACTTTTATTACTCATTGATTGATGAATAAGGTAGACTAAACTCCTCAATGGGAACAGGCTTCAAAGAATGCAACTCTAATTTTCACATAAAATACTTTCCCATACTACAGAGTGAAGAAAAGAAGAGGTGGGGGAATCAGGGAGAGGATGCACTTCAAACAGAGAAGGCTCGTTGTCCCACAGAGCAACAACCCCAACTCAGGTTTTTAAGTTACCTTGTTCCAGTTACTCTTTTATAGTTGTCTTTGGAATGGACTGATAAAATGCTGACTCCTGAACCAATGTTAACCACCAGCAGTGGGTATGGATCATCCAGGTTAAAAGGCATCTTTTGGCATCTCTCGGGGTCTGAGGCATTTTCAAAATAATAGCACTCTGCCTGGCCATTGAAGCTGACAGAGTCTATGTACAATAAGCCTTTGACAAGGCAGTCAAGCTCATCCAGTTTGTGCAGCTGCAGGTTTCCAATCTGTGTTAAGAAAGAAAAAAAGACTGTGTCAACATGTTCTAACATTGCACAAACATGCTACAAATTTATGAGAATATTTGTACTGCCCAACTTTAGGAAGCTCTCTCAGGTGGCTAATTCAGGAACTTCAATCTCAGTATGAAACCGACAAAGAAGTTCTGAACACATCAATTAGCAAAGCCATGTCACTATAAATCTAGATCTCAGACCTGAGTCAAGAACAGACAGGTAGTAAAAATATCTGCTTTGGTAAGCTCAAATCAAAGATAACTTTTGAGATACTAAGACATTAACCCATTGAAAAATTAGCAACATTTTCCACTGGTTTAAATCCAAAAAAAGGTCACCAAATACCCTAAAGGCCCCACCAAGTGCTACCTTAGTGAAACTCACACATCTGCACATCTTTTCAAGGTTTGTGGGTTTCCTCCCCCATCTTACAAGTCAAACAGTCATTTCTAGGATGTCAGCAGATAAAAAGCTCAATGGAATCACACTAACTATCCTTGCAGCTTCATTAACGTTCCAAGGATTATCACAAAACCACAGGGCAGAAATTCTGAGGGGCTTTAGGCTCACTACAGCTCTTCCTCAGTTTTGCACGTGACATTTAAGCTGCCGTTCTCTCATAGAGCAGAAAGACAATTTAACAGGTGCTGTGGATTCCATGAAGGCTGTAATTTCCTATACTTGATGCAGTCTGTAATTAAGAATATTTGAGCATTGCACAGTTTTTCAAAATACTGATTATTTATCCCATCACCAGCAATGCTTTTGGCATCAGCTCCAGGGTACCTACTGTGCGAAAGTCTTCTTCGAACTTGTACGCGCCACCGCCGGTGGCACAGAGCACCGTGTGTAGTGTCGAAAAGTTTTTGTTTCTTCCCATTTGGATAAAAGTAGGCAAATCATGAGTTGGGAATCGGATAAAGTGCAAGTTTCCTCTTCGAGCAAAAATGGTCAAGTCTTTCAGCTCCAGGTGGACGTCCCGAATGCCAGTGGATCCATAGGCTACATTGGAAGTCAGGTATTTGCGGATGCTCTTCAAGCTTTCAACCTCCTCCTGCTCCTCCTCTGCAGTGATGTCAATAGGTTCAAAGTAGGCAAGCTTCACCAGTGTTCCCCCAATGTCCATGCCAAACCATGGGAAAGCTGTGAAGGTACAAGAGTTATTGTTAGAGAGACAAAGCCACACATGGAACTTGAGAGTTAAACCAACGCTGTACTACTTTTTCAACAAGACATTAACAACAAACCTCACGGGAGTGAGGAATTAGTGCTCATTTTGATTACATGACCTTAAATATCCCTCTGGCCATCAGTAAAAATGGGAAAATTAGCAACTCCATGTATTTAAATGCTATTACACGTGCTCAGAAAGCCCAACTAAAACTACCCAAACTATACCATATCTTTCAGACCAACTCATAAACAAAATTCAACCACTTTTTTTTTTTTACTGAGAACAAAAGATTAAAATAACCTTCCCTTCTAAAATAATAGCTCTGACGCACTTCAGCAATGCACAGGGGACGAAAGCAGGTTACACATTAGAGCTGGCAACAGAGCAGGACAATATTCCTCCTCTAACAGCTCCTCACACAACATGTTTGAGAGAGAAGCTCTAATTTATTTGCATGCACTTTAAAAATTGGCACAGTTAAGACACCCGATTTATATCCCCTGAAGTTAAAAGGCTAACAAGAATTTCTGTTAAGAACTACAAGCAAACCACAAAATTAATATTAGTGAATCCAGGTTCCATTTTTCTTTTTTTTGCTTTTTTTCTTTTGGCTAGAAGAGGGCATTTCTGTCCTACAAAACAAGAGTAAACCAAAATGCTTTGGCTTTGTCACTTCTGTGGGATGACTGCAGTTCCTAATAGGGATTTTATGGTCTATGACATGCAGGACCATGATTTGAATATGCCTGTACTAATACATTTTCCCAACCATGTGCAGTGCAACAGATACTCAGTAACCCTACAGCAAAGACAACACCCTCATCTGACAGTTTTCTCACTGTCATCTCCCAGAAACAGTATTTAAAATTTAATTTGTACATATAAGAAAGATTCTGAATATCCAGCTGGGAAGCTCATGGTTTTATTTTCTAACTGACATTATAGCTTGTTTGTTTTGCTTGCCCTTTTTTTTTTTTTTTTTTTTTTTAGAATTCCAATTTATTTCTTCAATGCAATTCATATCTTACACAAACATAACACTCAGGGACAAAACCAAAAAGATGTTAACATGTTCATCATGAGCAAGATGCAATTATACTGAATTTACATTACTAATGGGACCCATCCTTGAGAAGAATGATCTACCAAAAATATTTTAACATATTTAGGCAAGGCTGGGTGTGTGTCAGTTCATTTATGAGTGCTAGAGTTAAAACCAAAAGAAATTTCAAAGTTGCCTCAACTTTCAGGAATAGGTGCCCAGGGAATATTGTCAGATATTAACAAAAAAGATTTAGTTGGTTACCTTACTTATCTTGAATAACTGAATTTAAATACAAGAGTAAGTTCTGTGAGCAAAATCTAGCTCCAAGGGGAAATAAAGAAGGTCTATAACCCTAATATATGTTTCATAAAGTTGAGGTCTAAGCATAAAGCCACACATGACCTGATTCTACAACTGCCTGACTTCTTTACCCTGTGACTCTGGACATAAAAAAATTTGTCACCTTCCTGTTTGACCGCAATTAGCTGATGACTTATTAAATGACTTCACCAAGTTTCAGCCTCTTTCCATAAACGATGTTACAAGATCAAAAGCGAAAAAGGGAAGTTGATTCACCCATCAGACCAGAACTCTGCAGGAGTCAATCCAACCCATTCAGAATTTAACTCAGACACAGCAAGCCAAGTACTACCTAAAATATTTGGGACTCTTTCTGCTCAGCGGGCCTACTGGATAACTAGGATCTAGTCCTCCACAACAGGAGAGAGGGAAAACAGCTGAAAGTTCAGGCAATGAGCTTAATGAAGATTTGGTGCAAGTCATGCCTGTTTGTCAGAAGATCCACCACATCCCATGTTAAATGATCCAAGAGGTTTTTGCAAATACAGCATTAGTCACATCCCTATAAATCAACTATATATCAAAAAACAAGAACAACTGAACTGTAAGTTTATTCCATAATGCAAACAGGAACATGTTTTATGTTGAAAAATGGGATGATGCTGCACAGTATCAGTTTTCTGGGTTAACTGAATGATCTTAACAGCCATTTAAGGATTTTGAAACTGAAGAAATAGGTCAGCGTTCACCTCTGTGACAAACCCCAAGAAGTTTCACATTTTTCTATTGAAAATTTGTCAAGATCTGGCTGGTAAGTACATTGCTCAAGTTTCATTTGCAAGGTGGAGGAGTCCTGACAAGCAAGCGGGCCCACGTCCTGTTAACTTACTCCCTATACAAGCAGCCCAGAAGAAGGAATTACCCAAGGATTCTTGTGCATGTAAGCCACTCTTGATTGATTTATATTGATTTTATTACAGGTGCAGCCAGAAAAATAACAGCCATTTTGTGCTCCAAACACAGAAGGGAATACACATATGTGGCAAGAGCACGATCAGTTAGTTGGGACTGCAAGGATACAAGATTTATCTGTGCTTGAGCTGCCTTTAAGTAATGGAAATACACTGATTTTCCTGAATTTTAATATAATTGGACACAAAATAGAAACCTCCCATAGCTGCAGCCTTCAAATCAGATCACTTTGGGAGGATCTTGGCTCAGAATCCATCCTGTCTGGATGCAGAAGGACTGAAGGAAACAGGAACCCACGCGGAAACACAAAGTTATTGGAAGTGTTTTCATGTGCGGGGTTAAAATCAGGCCAGAGAGATTCAGGATGGAGGAACAGGCAGAGCACTATGGAGAGTTTCCTACAAGATTTCCAGCAGCCAGGCTAATCCTGACAGAGGACACACAGACTTCAAGTCCTGCCCTACATACAAGGAACCTGTGCATCATTTTAAACCACATATACAAGCTCTCTGCTTAAGGGGAGGTTGCTGCTCTTTGAGGAGTGTTTGAAGCACAAGTTTTCACTCTTGCACAGCATATCTGCATCAGTAGCTGGTATCGGTCTCTCAAAGATTTCTCAGGAAGTCGTGTATTTGAAAGCTGGCTTGGAACACGACAAAAATAGCGTGGTGTGTACCTTGGGCTGAGAATTCAGCAATGACTAAAAGGTATTTTTATACTTGTATCTGTGGGTCATGCTTCTCTAAGTGAGAGATGTAGGAGAATGCCAGCAAAAGAATCTTTTTGGAAAAAAATATCCCCAGACATCAGCTTGATCCTTTCAGCAGTCACAGTTAAAGAAATGTGCCTGGATGACACCAGTACCAATTACACAACCTTCCTTTCAAGCTTATAGGTCTGCAGATACCAGGTTTAAGGACTTGCACAACCGTAACCACCGTTCCAAAGCTTCACTTCCTAAGGAGAATCAATTCCTCTGCATTAAAAATGGGCTTTTTTTCCACAGCTCTAGGGGATTAGGTCATTAAAAGATTTTTCTCAGCTCTTCCTCTTTGTAACTATTTTTATTCCTAGGAAGATTTCACAAAAAGTGATGCACAGATTAGAAGTATTCCTTGCTGAGAATTTGACTGCTATTCACAGAACAAGTCCAGGGCCCATCTTTCAAAGTTCATCTCATCTCTGCAGAGGTCAGAAACAATCTGAAAACAAGAAAAGTAAAACTGACTTTTTATTAAACAAGCCCAACTGCGTTGGATAGACTATATAAAATTCCTTCAAAAACATGCATTCTGCTTTTAGGAAATCTATTTAAGAATACACAAAACACAGATTTTTACTATCTGAGAAGAGACAGATACGTGAAGTAGAACACTAACTGGGAAATCAAAACCCATATGGTGTTTAGTGTGATACTTCACACAAAATTTAACTGTCTCCAGGACAGCAAGAGGAGAATCATAATATACAACCTCCTTAATTCCAAATCCAGGCTTTCTTTCACTCCCCAGCTCTGTCAGGAGCCACTGTGGTCCCTACCTAGACACAGCAACCATGAACCTTTGCTATAAAGCAACAGATTGTTCCACACATGCCATGAAAAAGCTTGGAGGGGCAACCCCTCAAAAAATCCAGATGTTTAAGAGGATTCCCTAGCACTGCTTCCTGCAGTGTAGAAAATCACCTTCCACAAGGGAGGAGCGCTGTGTTCATGCAATGATGTAGCAGTTCTGCTGAGTAAGAAAACCAAAACCCCAAGCTGATGGCTGTTGGTTGTTTTTTAAACCATAACAATCTTTAGAGATACACAGGGAGGCCTCACTCTCTTGTGTCTGCACTTTTTAAGTTCTTGGTGTACACAGTCACTGGCAGAAATCTTAATGTTATTTATATCTTATCATATAAGGTATTTATATGCCAAAGGAAATAATTCTAGTGAAAAGTCTCTCATGCCAATATAGACACAAAGGTTGAAGTGTTTTCCTTTTCCATGGGCTCTGCTTCATCAGAGCAGAGGACCTTCGAAACTCTCCACCCAGGCCACACACTAGTATTCTGATTTTGCACACCCACTTTGGATCCAAAGCTGCAGGAAGCACAAACTCAAAGACTTAACTACTCCCCCTTATTCAGTAAAGATCCTTCAGTTTAATGCTCTGTTTGTATTTGGCTTTTAAAGACTGAGAAACAGATTCCTGTCAGCCTCTTCCCTAAGAATGTAATGACACATCTGAAACACAAACACCTTTCAAATAGTTCCTTCTCACTGTAAGATAAAATAACATTCTGGGTCAACCCTGGTGTAAATTAACAAGAACCAACCTTCAAAGAAGAGTAGCTAACTTCTATTTCAAGCTGGGAGCTCTGCACCACGGGAAAAAAACCCCACAAATTCACAGCTGTCAGTGACAGCAGAGAGCAGCCTACATCATTTAGTGTCACCTTTGCAAGAAAGCTTATGTATTATTAAGACTGTTGCACTTCAAACACAAATGAACCCCGGCAAAAATCTGCCAAAGGGTGCCAAAGTTCATGATTCTATACAGCCCTAAAACAGAGGGAAGGAAAATGATCACGAAAGCCATGAAAACTTAAGCCTACTCCTGCCGGCACTGCAACAGCTCTTTATGAAAGTATGCAGTATTATCAGTTATGATACCCAAAACTTATCTTCTAATTCAGCCTTTGATAATAAAACCTTGATCCTATTCCTACCCGAATACTGACAAGGCAAACAACTATTTAAAAGTTATACTGAACTACTACACACTAAAGTGTTTACACAGAAACTAAAATGTACCCTGCAGTTTCTCCAAACGCATTTTCCTCTGTGTACATACATCCATTCTTACACTTCCCGTCCTTCCCTGAAACACGTGCATGCAGTGGAGTAAAACCTGATGGCAAACTATCAGCTGAATCAGCTGGCAGGCCAAGGCAGCTCACGTGTGCAATGGGAGAAGGGAAGGGAAAGCACCCCAAGGGCTGTGCAGCTGCTGCATCAAGCAGGATTAACCTGATGGGTAGGCAGCAAAGTGCCTCTGCTGCACCCATGTCCAGGGATGTACATGGGTATGAGCCTCTACAGAGCAAAACTGCACTTCAAATGTCCTTAGTCCTTGAGGCACTGTAGACTTTCTCTCCTTAACAAGTTTTGTAACAGGTTTTTGGTTCCATTATCCCAAGTCCAGCTCAAAATACATTTGAGCTGGACAGAATTAACGCATAAATTAAGTGTATCTGGCACACCCTGGCACATCCTCTCATTTTTCTTTGTGGGAAAACTTCTCCATCACGCTCCACAAACTCCTTGCACTTTCCCACTCAGCCTCCTCTAATCACGCTCCATAACAGCCACAGTTACCAGTGGGAGGACAGGTGGGAATGGGCAATTACTGCAATTGCTCTTCATGAGGTTCACCAAATCCACAAGTGGATGCCATATAAAGCTACCACAAGACAAAACATCACTGCTTTCATCTTCTCTCTCCTTGCTCATTCTCTTAATTTTGTTGACATTTCAGCAGCCATGTCTTTGGGGATAGGTGTAATTACAGTGAGATACAGCATGCAGAGGCATAATTTAACACTCACAGATACACTGTGTTTAACACAGTATAAACTGTGCCTGGCAGTATTAATCCATTATTAGAAACACACTTTTCAACTGCAGTCAAATGAGGGCCTGTAACATCTGCTATTGGCTAGTAATCAGCTTTCAAGGACTAATAAGAAAATGCTAGGATACCCAAGACTATGCAGCAAGTTCATCAATTTTACTACACTAATCCTGCATGGAATCACTGTGTCCACAATGATTACATGTGTCCAGAGAACCACATTAGAGAAACTAAACTTGAGATTTTCATCTTTTCTTTATACTGATACAGCACTTTGCAAATCTCTGCTATGTATGTTCATCTTGAGTGTGTCTCAAATCGCCTCAAGGGAAACGAAGGCATTTGTTCTCAAACTATTTTCAATAAACAATCAAAAGGAACGCACTGTAAAAAGTAACATACACAGTGTACTCGATGTTGGAAGTCTCTGCCTTTCCTTCAGCAGTGCATTACACTCCAGAGCCAAGAGGAAGGGCTCCAGCTCCCCTGGAGAGCACAGCACGCTGGCACTGTCCCTCTCGCCCTCCCCGCCAACACACAGAGTTCCCCCTGACTGAGTGGCTGCTCTCTTCCCTTCAGGCAGATCCCACGCAGCAGCAAGACTGCCTGCTCTCACATTTGTCATACCAACCCACAAATAACCTTTGGAAGTTTCCTTGAAAACTGCCAGCCATTCTCCCCCAGAGGCATTTCCTCAGAAGAGTTATCACGCAACTGCTGCTTGGAAGGTTCCTCCCGGGGTCATCTGGTCTGACCTCTCCGTCACACCAGCAGGAAAACTGCCAATTCGAGATGAGGTCAACTATGGCTTTGTCCAGCCAAGGCTTTAAGACCTCTGAAGTTTTTCAGGAATTCTCCAAGAATGGAGCCTCCACAACCTCTCCACTGCCTTGCTAACTTAGTCCAAAGCTTTCCCGATGTGAATTTCTGTTCTCCTCCTTTCAAATGCTGACACCTCCCATCCCCAGCAGCTGAGATTTAAATGGCCCTTTATAAGCCTCTTCCAAGACAGCCAACCTCAGAAGCTGTGTTCCACAAATTCAGCTGCATTTCTCAGTTTTCAGTCCACCAAATTAGCAACATCCCTAGCCAGGTGAAGATCTGCAAGGGAGGACCACACAAGCATGTCTAGGCAGTTGTATCCACATCAGAAGCCCTGAACTGGTTGGGTGTCTCCATTTTACCCTCTCTGATGACTGACATGACAGGCAGTGCAATCACGCCTTTCTTCCTGATGCCAAACATCACAGATGAAAGCAAAGGTAGGCTAAGGTAATCTTTTCAATTCAACTCTGCACATACTTAAGTTAAATAATGATTAACCATTTTTCCCTTGCATCAAATTTGGCTCCAGCACAGATGATTAGATACTCACACAGTCTAAGGAATATACCCACTCAGCAATTGTGTTGAAAATTATCTACAACTCTCTTAAACAAATAATTTGTAAACAGTCTAAAAGTGGTACCGTGAGCCCAGCTTTCATGTCAGTGTGAGTAGTTGAGCCAAACTGAAAGTAGATTTTGGGCACCAGAACCCCTGAACTTCTCCATCTTCAATACTTCTGTGGATCTGCTGCTCTTCAAACATTCAGCTGCTCTCCCACTTCAGTCAATGTGACTAACCAGGACCAGAGATCAGCAAAACGAGTCTAAAGTTCATTGCCTAAGAAACTAAGTGCTATTTTCTTTAAAAAAGCCACCAACTTCAAAGTATGTTCAAGAGTCAAGAAGATATAAACAACATAGTTTGACACTGTATTTTTCCCCTCCTGCCTCTGCAGTTCCAACTGTTTCTAATTCCCATCATGAAACCAACATCAAACTTCAGGTTCAAGAACTGGAAGAGTGCAACTACAACTGTAGCATATTTGAGCAGCTAAAACTTCTTGGTAACATTTGCATTGGTATTTAACCAGGAGGTTTAAATCCACCACTACACAAAACAAATCTCTGAGGTCCAGCAGAGACACTCCTGAAATGAGCATGTTTCTGCAGTAGGAACAGCCATACTCTCACAATTTTAATTACCAAACCACTGTAACATTTTACAGCCAGTTATTGCTTCAGAGTCTTGATAACATTCCTTAATATTATACCAGCAGAGGAAAAAAAATGCTGTCTGAACTGTATTCTTCATAAACATCACTACAGTAAATTCAGGAATTTCCACACACTGGCACTAACAAGAGGTGATGACTAACTGGGTGCTACAAGATGCACATTTAGGCTTTCCCCAAGAGACCACAAGAAACAAGGTACTTTCACAGCTATTATAGCTATTTCTAGAGCTACACTAACACTTCCTGTTTTACATACAGTCTTTGATGGTTTTCTTATTGGGCTGCTCAGACAATATATCTAAAACATCCCCTTTCAAGATCCTCTTTTAGCTGTATGCTGCTCATTTGCCAGACATGCCACAGGGCCACACAGCAGGCCTAGAAATTTGGGACTAGACATTTTTTCTACGCAGTAACTCACCCTGAAAGTACTCCTTTAAGTACGATGACAGAGAAAAAGATGCTTAATTCGGTGGAGCAATACCTGCATCCCTTTCAGCCAAGGCACACCTGTATTAGCTTGACAGGTGTGTTGATTTGCACAGCTGTACATCGTTTGCATGTAGATTAACTTTGCTCAATCCATACCTCTCTTCCCACAAAGAAGCACCTGTAGTCTTAAGGCATTTTGTTTGCTTTCACCTGAGTCTGAACCACGGTTGTGCCCTCCAAAACAAATACGTGCTCAAAACCAATAAATAGTAAGGATATTGTTACAGCTGTGCTTATTAGAGGGGAGCATCCAGCGTATTTTAATTAAAGACCTACAGCCGAATAACAGGAAATATTCTCTCTTAAAAGGATCAGGATTTGATTAGCCCTTAAAAAGCAAAACTGTGGCAACTGCAGCCACCTGCGCAGGTGTTCGGCACAGCGATTAAGTGCCATCTCCATCAAACACATCACCCGCACCCAAGGAGCCGATGATATCCTTTCTAGTCAGAGCGAAGCCCTCCCCCCGCGGACCCCGCGAGCCCCGAGCCCTCCCTCCGCGGGACGCACAGGATCGAGGATGGTCTCCACGGGCACCTCCCGGAGCCATGGCCGGGCAGCGCCGGCCCCGCGCCCCCTCCCCCGGCCCGGCCCGGCCTTACACGGCTTCTTGGCATCCTTGATCTTCATGGCGCTGCGGCGATGGCCCGGCTCGCTGCCGGCCGGGGCGGGTCTCCTGTCCCTCGCCTGATGGGGCGGGCAGCGCCGGCGGCTCGGCGGGGCCGGGCCTCGCTCTCCTGATGCTCGTCGCCCGCGGCGCGCCCGCCTCCCGGGGAGCGGCGCTGGCCGCGCCCGCCGCTACGCCCGCGGCCCGGGCTGGGGCCGCTCCCGCCGCGGCATCGGCGCTGGGGCGGGGAGACGGGGCGGGGCGGCCGCGCCGCGAGCGGAGCTGGCGGAGCGGAGCGGAGGAGCCGAGCGGCGGCCCCGGCACGGGCACAGGCCCCGCTCGGGGGCAGGAGCGGCCCCGGCGCTGCCCGCGGAGCCCCCGGCGCGGACTCGGCACAAGATGGCGGCGGCGCCGGAGCCGCGGCCGCGCACACAAAGGGGCCGGGGCGGCTCCGCGCCAGCCCCGCCGCTGTCGCTGCCGCAGCCGCAGCGCTGCCCCCGCCCGGCGCGGGGCGAGCCGGGAGCCGCAGTCCGGCCGCGCCTACAGCTCCCGGCGGCCCCCGGCCCCTCACGCCACGGGCCCGCCGCCAATCGCGGCCCCGCCGCCGCCCCTCGGCAGTGGGGCACGGGCTAAGCGGGGGAACGGGGAGGTTCCTCACGGCACCCTCACGGTGCAGCCCGGTGGGCATCTGTGCGGCTCACGGGGCACGGGAGCCACACCGGCGCTCCGTATCGCTCGGTAATTTATTGAGCTTCCTCCTCAATAACGTAGGAAGCTGCAGTTTATTTTTGTTTCCCCTCGCTGCGGCTGAAGCGTTTAGGAAATGGCTCCTTTCGCTTTGCTGGTGTCTGGACTCAGTAACTGCACCAGTAGCGTCAGTCCTCGGGAAGCTTTTCCTCACCCGGTAGAAAGAGGACTGATGTTTAGAAGCACAATCACTGAATCAATTAGGTTGGAAAACCCCTCTGAGATGTTCAAATCCAACCTATGACCCAACACAACCTTGTCAACCGCACCAGAGCACTGAGTGCCACGTCCAGTCGATCCTTAAACACCTCCAGGGACGGGCACTCCACCGCCTCCCGAGCAGCCCCTTCCAATGCCTGACCACCCTTTTGGTGAAGAAATTCTTCCTGATGTCCAACCTGAACCTCCCCTAGCACAACTCGAGGCCATTTCCTCCTGTCCAACCGCTTGTTCCCTGGGAGCAGAGCCCAATCCCCACCTGGCTCCACCATCCCATCAGGGAGTTGCAGGGAGTGAGAAGGTCCCACCTGAGCCTCCTTTTCTCCGGGCTGAGCCCTGCCAGCAACCTCAGCTGCTCCTCATATCCCTGGATCTCCAGACTCTTCCCCAGCTCCGTTCCCTTCTCTGGACATGCTCTAGCACCTCACTGTCCTTCCTAAACTGAGGGGCCCAGAACTGGACACAGCACCTGAGGTGCCTCAGTGTTGCCCAGTACGGAGGGACTGTCCCTGCTCTGGTCCTGCTGGCCACGCTATTCCTTATACAGATCAGGAGGCTGTTGGCTTCCTTGCCCACCTGGGTGCACGCTGGCTCACGTTCAGTACATGTGTGTATGAGTACACTCAGTATATGTCTTGCCCTGTATGAGGTTATGGAGTCTCTCCTGACTGTCTGCAGCTGGAGGGAAGCCCACTGATGGTGGCAGGACATGCTGAGATCTCCAACCTACTCCTCGCAATTCCAGGTCTTCCAGCAAGAACTCATAAGGGAGTGACCAGCTGTTTTCTCCTGTCCTGTGTGATAAAGTGCTAAGTAATTCTAGATCAGTTACTGTGATCTTGGATGGATCTAAAAGCTCTGATCTGGGAGGAGGATTTGGGCATAAGCTCCGTCTTGGAAGCTGAAATTTCCTGGAGTTTTGCTTTGGCAAAAGTCTCTTTTGAAATAACCCTTCACAAACCCAGGAAAGACTAAATCCTCAACTTCCTGGGCATGGGGTTTACTCCCAAACCTGTTGTGTAGAAACAGGAACCCCGTCTCTTCATCCTCCGTTCCCCAGCTGCCCCTAAACATGCACAAAAGAACCCTTTTACCCCATACCAAGTGACCTTTGCTTAGCCCTGGTCACTGCTTTCCTTCAGGAAAGGATTTTGGATGTCAGATCCCAGAAGAGGGTGGTGTTCACTTACCACCCTATTAGCAGGAAAGTTTTCAGGTGTAGACCTGTCCTCAGTGCCAGCAGAGCTTTGCTCCCCCCACTGACTACCAGCCCAGGCACCTCATTTTGTGATTCTCTGTCTGCTTTGAGCACTGGTATTTTGTTGGTATTTTTATTGTCTGTCATTCTAAAACCTCCCATGTAAGGATTTATTCTTCATTTTAATCCAGAATCTTACATTAAAAAAGCCAAAATTCTCATGTGGAGGCCATCTCCCATTTATCACGTTTCATTTCTGAAATGTCTGTATTTGGAAAACTTACTCTAAAGGCTTCTTAGTGTTTATTTCTTGTCCTTTAAAGGAAGTTCAGGGTGTATCAGCAAGGCTGCAGAATTTCTCGCTTTCTGTAAGCTACATGTAACTGTGGAAATTCCAGCATGTTCTTCATAAAGCGAGGAAACTTTGGTGTGGTTTTGTGGTTTTTCACTGCAAAGTAGTTTCTTAATGAAATTCAAAACGCAAACATTTACATACATGTTAGGGAATAGCAGAATTTAGCTGCTACCTGGAAGTTAACTTGTGCCCGCTCATAAATACACACTGTGATTGGAAAAGAGAGTCTTTCATTTCCTGCCTGTCACCAGACTATGCAGCGTGGAATGTTTGGTGTAAAATGAGCTATCCGGTGTCTCGCAGACATCTCTGGTGGGGTTGGGGAAAACAGATCTGCAGGGAGATTTTTCATTACCTTAATTCCGAGGCTTTTTTTTTTTTCCAGCGCCTACACTCTGTGTTTCCAACACACCTTCTAACTCGAGAGGAAATGAAATATCATCCCTGGGAAGTGCTGGCAATAAATATATACATGCAAACCAGAGAAACAAGAAAAAACTTAGTCTACAGCCTGACAGCTGTCCAATTCCTGCTGTCTAGAAACAGACAGAAAAGTTCCTGACCCAGCCTTTCACTGAGGAAATTATGATCTCCTTTTCCAGCAATGCAGATTCACTGACTGCTTTCCTAACCTCTGACTTTGGTCAGGGACAAAAAAATACATATTTTGTGACTAAGTTTTGAGAGCAACTTCTGAATTTGAATACACTGGATGCCCACTTTATGCTATTTTGTCTAGCAAACCCTCTTAATTCATCTCCCCTTGTAAAAATATGGGAATAAATAAAGGGCTCTGTGATAATTAATGAACTGAGGGCTGTTCAATTTAAAAACAAGATCAGCAAATCTGAAGGTTTGGTTTCTTCACAAGAAGCTGCAGTGTTATATCTGAACAGCATAGCTAATACAAAATGTGAAAAAAAAAACAAACCCAAGTGAGATCAACACCCAGCTATCTTTAGTCCATCTCAGAGCAGAGGTTTAGCTCAAACTGAAAACTTAGCACAGGCATGTGAGAGGCTCAGAACGTTCCTTAATTTACAGATCAATTGATTTATAGGTTATGAGCACTTTAGATTGGAGTTATTTGTATGTCAGTCAGCATGTGCTTGGAATAGCCCCTAAGAATAAATCAATCTGAAGGTGAATGTATGATTTGCTATTTAAATATAAATGTGTATATATGTATTTATATATATATATATATACACACTTATATAACCAATTCCAAGCAGTAGTTATTAACTACTGTCCTAAAGTACTACCCAGTGTCTGTGGGGAATGAAACCACAGGAGAGTATTCTTTCTGAATGATATATCTGAAGTTGAGGATATTTTTTTGAACCAATATTACTTACAAAGATGTTTTGGGGCAAAACAAAAATTGTTTTATTGCTATATAAGAATCTCATTTATTTATTGGTGTGACCAATTTAATCTATGTCTTCATGACCTAAACCGTACTTTGGTATTTACTTCAACATAGCAAATAAATAAATAAAAAAAAAAAAATAAAAACCCCCCATCCCCCAACAGTTCAGTGAGTGCTTTATCAGGAGAAACAAGGGCAGGTTAAGAGGTGCAAAATGTGCTGGTGTATAATTAAGGAAGTTTAAGCTCCTTTATAGTCACTGCCTGTTGTGCATGCTCTTATCACATGCTAGGTGAAAGCATGATATTATCTCCTGTGCTGCAAAGTCCCCACCTAAATTACCTTGTGGCATTTGGTTCCTGTAACCTTGCTCTGCAAGCAAAGTGTCTAAGGCAGGGCTGAGGCATTTGCTTGTCATGGTTTAACCCTAGCCAGGCCTCACACAGCCACTGACTCAGTGCCCCAGCAGCAGATCAGGGAGAGAATCGGAAGAGTAAAAGCTGGGAAACTTGTGGGTTGGGATAAGGACAGTTTAATAAGGAAAGTGAAAGGTGTGCATGCAAGCAAAGCAAAACAAGGAATTAATTCCCATGGGTGGATAAGTGTTGAACCATCCCCAGGGGAGCAGGGTTCCATCATGTGCACACAGTTAAATGCTGCTGGTGGAAGATTAGCTGGAAGTCTGGACCACTGAAAATGTACTGACTTCCCTGTGAGTTTTGAGCTATCTTCTGAGCACCTGCTTTCCTCCCTTCCACACACCTCTGAGGTAGGATGTGTACTTTTCCTCCCCAGGTAAGACACAGCAGTTGTAAAAGGTTATTTTTTACAGCAAAGGAGTGATCCTTGTGCCGTGGGGAGAAGCCTCACAGACACTCGGAGAAGGCAGTGTCATCCCCAGACTACCTTGAGCATTCCTGTACTTTGAAAGCACAGAAGCCTTGGGAAAGGAGAAGGTCAAGAGCTCACATAGGAACAAGATACAAAGCTATGCAAGTCTCGCAGCAGCTTCTGTTCCTCCTGCTTGTGAGACCACGGGGTGTCCCCCTGCGTCATGGTGTAAGTTTAAGCTTCCTCATACTAATAAGTACTGCTTGTACTGTGTGTGTGCTCCGTTCCCTGCCTGAGGAGTTTCTTGCTGCCTGCAGGGGTCTCTGAGGGTGAATGTGCTCAGAGGAACAGCTGTGCTTTCTTCATAGGCAGGAGGTACCATGGGCTGCAGGGTGTGCACCTCGGAGTAGAGCCCTGCTGGATAATAAACTGCAGGCACAC